AAAGCATTTCTTTTTATGTTGCTCCCACAATTTCTTCAAATTCTTCTCTCTTTAATTTTTTTTTTCTCTAAATTTCTTTAATAGATGGTGTTTCATTCACAATTTCGTTAATTCTTGTGGGATTTTCATTAACACCAAAAACTAAGTACACTTGATTTGCAACTATTTGAGAGGATTTCAAGGGCTGGTACAAGCCCAACAATTTCAATCTCTTTTTAACTTTCTCTGGAAAGCTTGAAAGTTGCGTTGAATTAATGGTCCTAAATAAAAGAAAGAAAAGGAGAATGAAAAGAATGCAATGAAACGTAGGAAGGGTTTGAAAACATCATCTTCTTCATTTTCACTTTTTTAGATTAGAATTGTTTCCTCGAATTTCTTGGGGAGTGGGGTTGAAACAAAGCAAGGATTTCCTGCAAAAATTCAGTAGGATAAACAAAACTACTCAAAGAGAAAGAAATGAAGGAAAGAGAAAGAAAGAAAAAAACACAGTAACGATGTGGGGGATGAAATGGGAGAATCGGAGAAGACGATGAAAGAAAAAAAAAATCAAAGGAAGAGGGTAAAATGGTCAAATAAGTAAAAATGATGTGGGATTAACAAATTAGGGTGTGGCAATAACTCTTCCCATGTTTAGTTGTCAATGTAAACTTTGTTATTGATACATGAAAGTATTTCAAAATTTCCACTTAAGTCCACAACACCATTGTTGCATAATTTGGGATGATATAAGTGGAACACTTTTTTTTTTTGTTATTAACTAACATACTTTTCTACAGTGATGGATTCCTTTTTGCCTCAAAAGAAGTTTCATTGCTTGATCAAGCAAGTCGAGGAAGGCAGAGTATTTTGCAACTTGAGCAGGTGAGTAGTTTTTTGTTATGTTCTCTGAAAAATTTTCCATTGCTTATATATTTGTAAATATACAATTTTTTGCGCTGATTTATTGTTTTTTAAATTTTCTTTCTAGGAGATTCTTCTATTAAGTCAGTTTGAACATAAAAACATTGTTCAGTATTATGGCACTAAGAAGGTACTCATCTCCTGCTTTTAGATTTGGTAAAATTGGATCCAATCTGAAAATCTGACTTAACTGACTTGCTATGAGTAGAGTCATGGGTCTAAGATATCAATTTAGAATCCAATATGACCCAGACCAAAATCATTCGAATTAGGCTAGGTTAGGTTAGGGCCAGGTTGGGTCAACCTAATTAAAATTAATTAATTTTTTTAAATTTAAAATATTAATTAATTATACTTTTAATTTTAAGTTTTAAATATAAGATAAATTAAATACTATAAAATAGTTATTATTTATTAAATTATTAGTGTTAATATTAATGTAGGAAACATTAATGCTGTTTATTCCATTTGAAACTTCTGTGAAATGAGCTGTAAAGAATTGTCAACAAGGTACCTAGTACACAAGGCCTGACGCTCTATTGATGGTTCATGTGTTACAAAGTCATTGATCTTATGTTTACGTTGGAACTTTTTATGCCAAACTTATTGGAATTTCTCATAGAAATTAGACTGCCAATACCTTGCTAACTTCAATTCAGTATTATGAATCTATATACTAACTCTTCTTTTCTTCATTTTATGGTCTTTCTAGGATGAATCAAATTTCTATATCTTCCTTGAGCTAGTGCCAAAAGGCTCCCTATTAGATCTCTATAAAACATATAATCTTAAAGATTCTCAAGTCTCTTCCTATACAAGACAGATTCTGCACGGACTGAAGTATCTTCATGACAGAAATGTGGTTCACAGGTAAAATGTCTGCGTATTAAATATGAAATTCATATTACTTTCCAATAGTTGAATATCAATTGCTTGGTATGCTAAAAGCAAAATTTTCAGAAATGTATAAAGTTGTAATTGCCTGACAAAACGTTTTGGTTTCTTTTTCATTTTTAGTGATTTAGAGGAGGAACAATATGTAGCCCATTTTAGTGCGGCAGCAAAATATATTTATATTTTTTAAAATATTTTCTCCATTTTTTTAATTATTTTTATGCGATAAGGTTGGACATAGTCTCTATACTACTAACATTTGTTCAATTTTGTATTGAACTGGCATTTGTTGCTTTTAGTGGATTAATGGGCACTATACTATTATGTGAGTTCGAATTTTGTTCTTTTCTTGTATCAAAAGGGATATTAAATGCGCAAATATATTGGTGGAGGCAAGTGGATCTGTGAAACTTGCAGATTTTGGATTGGCAAAGGTTTTGTTCCATTCTAAAACTATGTTCCTCCTCATGGTAGCTTTTGAATTATTGTGATTTTTGTGACACAAATTTTCTGATTTGTTGATTTTCAGGTCACTAGATTGAATGATGTCAAATCTTGCAAAGGCACTGCATTTTGGATGGCCCCTGAGGTTTGTCTATACATTTCCTCTTAGAATCAACAAATTATGTTTTCCACACGAGTTAATTTAAATAGCTGCAAACCTTGAAGAAAATGGCTTAAGCATTTGTTTGTATGGATCGGTATTGATTTATTATTGAAGTTGTGCT